AAATTGATAAAATTAAAACAGAAATTGAATTGAATATCAAGGAAATAAGATCTGAGTTAATTATCCTTAAAGGAACACTATAGTCACCTAAATTACTTTAGCTAAATAAAGCAGTTTTAGTGTATAGATCATTCCCCTGCAATTTCACTGCTCAATTCACTGTCATTTAGGAGTTAAATCACTTTGTTTCTGTTTATGCAGCCCAAGCCACACCTCCCCTGGCTATGATTGACAGAGCCTGCATGAAAAAAAAACTGGTTTCACTTTCAAACAGATGTAATTTACCTTAAATAATTGTATCTCAATCTCTAAATTGAACTTTAATCACATACAGGAGGTTCTTGCAGGGTCTAGCAAGCTATTAATAGCAGGGGATAAGAAAATCTTAATTAAACAGAACTTGCAATAAAGAAGGCCTAAATAGGGCTCTCTTTACAGGAAGTGTTTATGGAAGGCTGTGCAAGTCACATGCAGGGAGGTGTGACTAGGGTTCATAAACAAAGGGATTTAACTATTAAATGGCAGAGGATTGAGCAGTGAGGCTGCAGGGGCATGTTCTATACACCAAAACTGATTCATTAAGCTAAAGTTGTTCAGGTGACTATAGTGTCCCTTTAAGAAAAAAGTAAAGGACAATGAAGAAAAAATAAAAAAAATCTAGATTTTATGATCTTGTCTCAACAAGAGAGGAATATTCAAAACGAGAATAAAATATTAGATCTGGAAAACAAGATAGCAGACTTGGAGGACCGATCCAGACGCTCGAATATAAGACTCAGAGGTATTCCAGAATCTATCGCCAATGAGAATTTGGGGAAATTTCAAATCGAGAAGAAGGCTACCACCCGTACTTCCAACGATGGCACGGGACATTTATTTCACCACAATTGCCAGATAATATTCCAAGGGACGTGCTTCATATCGAATTAGGGAGAATATATTAAAAGCCAGAAAAGAAAAAGCACCATCACCACCGTATGAAAACAATAAGCTTTTTCCGGATTTGTCATATTATACTAGAATAAAGAGACATTCTTTTGCTACCCACACAGCAAGACTTACGGAAAAGGATGTAACGGATCACTTGTACTTCGACCAGGGTACCTTCCGTTGATGGGCGCTTACTAGCTTGCGCTGAGGACCATAAGCACCGCACCGGACACCACAACCACCGCAGACTCCACAACCGCCGTAGCTTAACTGGAGTCTTGCCGTCTTCCTACCTCCCTGGATCAGCCTCTCTCCTCCAGGAGAGCATATCAGGAACAGCTCTAAAAAGAGCTAAGTGATTAGAGCAGTATAGCAATATATAGCAATCCCCAGAAGTATAGCAATCCCCAGTGTGATTATAGCAGTTCCTCTCCAATCACGAGACAAGACTACGTGTTGAGGGTCAAACAGGAACAGAATGCATTGAGGCTTTATTGCTTCGTATAAACACATTTTCCCACAAGGTTACCACCCATGTAGACCATGTAGTACACAGGACACAAAGTTACAACAGCCAATCAACACAGTACAGCACAGTCAGACACTCCCAGCTAAGGCACACAAACCCTCCCCTCTGCCTGTGATATAATTACTGAACACAATGGGCTAACGTAATTATCACAGGCAGAAAATATACAGTTTAACCCAAAACACAGAAACACCCCAAAACAACAACATACCCCCATAAATTATACATCTCTGGATAGCCCTGATCTGGGTGAACAGCATATACAAAAAATCACCCAGATCAGAGCAGTGGTTCAAAAGTTTTATGGAAGTCACATTTGACCAACTGCAAGCATGGCTTTCATGCCCAAAACAGTTCCACAGATTTAGGCTATGCAGCCGGTCTATCTTCTCCTCTCTCCTGGACATAATTGGCTTAAGTGGGTGTGGTAAACCAATTATCTCCAGGTACAGAAAATATCTCTAAGTCCAAAAACTGTTACAAAAACTACATAAAAATACAGAACTCATATAATACAATGTTTAACCTATATGTCCAGCATATCTCCAGATAGTTTGGATCTGAGGACTTAATATGTCCGAAAAGCGCTCAGATCTCACGAATACAGTTGGATTGCCATGGGGTCAAACAATAGCAAGGGCTGATGAGAGATTGAGGAGGGGCAAAGCAGCCAGTTTCAACTGGTCTGGCAGTGTCACTGGGACAACCCCTGCTGGATAACAATGGGACAAGAAAAAGGGGAAGGGGAAGAGGCACATTCTCCCATGGATTTAAAGGGGCAGAAACAGTGCAATAAAATCCAATATGCCCAAATAACATTTTTAAAGGGCAAACTCTCCCAGGGGCCATAGTCACAAGGCAAGAGGTTGGCAATTAGTCCTCTCCAGGCACAAGTGGCGAAGTGCACTTCATCACACATCTCCCCTTTAGGGGGGAGACTAACCAGGTACCTGACTTTCTGTCGGTCAGTGCCTAAGTTAGTTGATCCACTCACCCACAATAAGCAAGTACAAGAGTAGCGTATCCACAGCAAACAGTTACTGCACCTAGGGATTCCTGTTGGCCGGCTCTGGCCTGTACATTTTAGGTAGTTGAGTGGGGGGTCCGAATCCCTGATCTCTCTGGGGTAACTGGGCAACACGCTGTGGGGACTTGGGGGGAAGAGGCCAGCTGCTCTCTGCCCCGATGCCAGCGCTTCTGCTGAGATAGCCTGGATGAAACTTGGCTGTGGAGGGGAGATATCGCTTACCTCCTCCTCCTGGTCTTCCTGCAAAGGTAGTTGGGGATCTGGACAGGCCGTCCAGCATCCCTGTAGGTCAGGTGCAGAGACCACGGTCCCATCTGCACCGTCTGGGATATTAGTGTCTCCCCTTTGTAGGGTAGGCTGCCGCTGGGGAGAGAGGGTGATATGCTCCTCTCCCTGAAACACATGCTGGAGAGGGAGACCGACCATCTCTAGTCCCATAACATGGCGAGAGAGACCGATTGTCTCTGCTCCCTGTAGGACACACTGCTGATGGGGGGGGAAGGACGACATCTTCGGCCCTCTGGGATGCATAATGCTGCTGGGGAGGGAGATCGCCGCTGGGGAGAGAGGCCGGCTGCCTGCTCTTCCAGCAGCTTACACTGCTGCTGAGGAGAGAGACGGATTGTCTCCTCTCCCTGAAACTCACCCTGCCGCTGGAGAGTGAGACCGATTGTCTCCACTCCCTGGAGGGAACACTGCCGCTGGGGAGAGAGGCCGGCTGCCTCCTCTCCCTGCAAGATACACTGCTGCTGGGGAGAGAGACTGGTTTTCTCCTCTCCCTGAAACTCACTCTGCCGCTGGGGAGTGAGACCGATTGCCTCCACTCCCTGTAGGAAACACTGCCGTTGGGGAGAGGGCCGGCTGCCTGCTCTCCCTGCAGCTTACACTGCTGCTGGTGAGAGAAACCGGTTGTCTCCTCTCCCTGAAGGACACGCTGTCGCTCAGGGACAGAATACTTTGCCATCTCTGCCCGCCATTCTGCTTCCTCCTGCAGGTCCTCGATCAGTTCTTTCCTCATGGTCTGTACACGTTTCTCTGTTGGGTTGGGTCCATATGAAGCCAACCGCCCCTTCAGTATAGCGTCAAACCTTGCTTGACTGCAACAGAGCGCCATGCTTGCTCGGTGTCTCCAGGTTTTTGCTCCTCACACTAGAAAGCCATTCCACCACTGCCACCACTGTAACGGATCACCTGTACTCCGACCAAGTACCTTCCATTGACGGGCACTTCCTAGCTTGTGCTGAGGACCATAGGCACCACACCGGACACCACAACCACTGCAGACTCCACAACCGCCATAGCTTAACTGGAGTCTTGCCATCTTCCTTCCACCTGCCTCTACCTCTGCCCTCCAGGACCGTGTGGGAAAGACCTCTCCTCCAGGAGAGCGTATCAGGATTATGATTATAATGTGCACTGTTCCTCATGACACGTACTTGCTAAAATCCTACTTGATATTACGCTTATGTTTAACTACTTTCACTATTCTCATGCTAAACTCGTTAGCAACATATATGTTTATCACTCTATGAAAATCGCGCTTGTGAGAGCTATTGTGGCTATACAAGCACTGTTGTAATCTCCTATGCACAACAAAAAAAATTAAATAAATAAATAAATAAACAATAGCAAAGGCTGATGAGAGATTAAGGAGGGACAAAGCAGCCAGTTTCAACTGGTCTGGCAGTGTCCCTGGGACAATGCCCTGCTGGAGAACAATGGGACAGGAAAAAGGGGGAGGGGAAGAGGCACATTCTCCCATGGATTTAAAGGGGCACAAAAGTGCAATAAAATCCAATATGCCGGGGGCGGGGCCTGGCCGCCGAGCGGGGTAGACGCGGAGCACCTCGGCTCCCTGCTAAACTCGCAGGGACCAGCTTAAAAATGCCCTCTCTTGCCTGGAAACCCCTCAGCTTCCATGGGCAAAGGGGACCCGACCAACAGCCTTCAGGGCAAGTATCAGCCCCCGCTCCGCTGGCGATGCGGTCTGGTAGGCGAGTAGGATTCCGGCCTGCTATGAGGCCCTGGCGGGAGAAGCGGCCATGCTTGGTCCGGCAGGACCTCCCGCCGCCTGGTAAGGACCCCCGTTACCCCGCATCTAGGCGGCAGGAAGACTGACCGGGGACCGCATGGGAAAAACTAAGATGGCCGCCGCGCTCATTGTGAGACGAAGTGAGGGGGAAGTACCACAGCAACGGCAGACAGACGGAGTGCTCCTTCCACCCACAGGATAACTGTATAAGGGATATTACTCCACAAGCAAGCCAAGCACAGCTCAGCTCAGCTCAGCATTCTAACACTCACACCAACAGAGATATCACCTCTCATTAACAACAGTGGATATAAGGGGACTCTATCTGGACTTTGACCCTGCCTGAGTACAAGGGAACAACGAAAATGGGGAATAAGCTCCACTCCTGACTGTCAAGCCCCCACACAGTGAAATAACCAGCTAAAAGCACAGCTGCAAGAGGGATCAAGCGGCTTCTAACCATATATGCCTAAAGTTATAACAGACTATGGTGTACCTCTTAATCTAGTATCTCATCTACAATATTAATGTGCGTCTTTATACCAGATTCTTCCTGCAGTTAGAAAGCAATTAAAATGTCTGAGCTTGCATGTATGTCCGACGCTCTGCTGCCCCCTGGTGGTTAAACTTAATTAAGCCTATAGACATCAGTTCTTGATGCTGACCATTGCTCCTATTTTAACGGCAAAAATAAGCTCACTGTTTTGGTTCTCACACATATGCCTAATTAGACAAGTTAAGCATCAATTATCTTGCTGTATTTCGTTTAACTTCATGCTAACGATACAAATGTTTAGCCAAGCTTGCTAAAAATATAAAATTGTGCAGACTCTCATGCCATTGTTTAACCATTGTATATCTTGCAATACGCTGTTGTGGCGCCTGTTGATTTCTTGTACCCACCTGCACAGCAAAAATAAAGAATTAAAAAAAAAAAAAATCCTATATGCCCAAATAACATTTTTAAAGGGCAAACTCTCCCAGGGGCCATAGTAACAAGGCAAGAGACTGGCAATTAGTCCTCTCCAGGCACTTCGTCACATAGGACATAAGATACAAGTGGGGATTCTCCTCTCAAATTCTAGTTTGGTATGATTCAAGATGGACACAATTTCAATTGCCAGAAAAATTGAAGATATGGCTAAGAGAAAAAAATATTATGGTTAAGTTATGCTCCTTTTATTTTTATTTTTATTTTTTTAATATACATTTTTTCTAATTAATAATTTTGTCTTGTACACTGTGAAATTTGACGGAAAGGGTTTCTGACAAGCACAGAGTGAAATATGGTACTTTAATAAATATTAGACAATAAGAAATAACTAAGGGAAATTTAAGAAATAGATAAAGGAAGAGTATACAGAACACAGATGAAGAGAGGTCTATATTAATATTCTGAATTAGATAGCACAGAATTATAAATTTTTAATTTTTAAATTTATTTTTATTATTATTTTTTTTTATTAGTAATTTTTGGCAGGTACAAAGTGTAATATGACGGAAATGGTTTGTGATAAACACAGAGTGAAATATGGCACTTAAAGAAATAGATAACAGAGGAGAGAGGTTTATATAAATGATTTCAATTAGATACCACAGAACCTCACAAATTTCTTTTTTTTTTTTTTTTTGCTCCCAGATCTCGGGCTTTCCTTAAATAGAAATAAGTGGTTTCCTCACTAGATAGGCTCTTTGAGCCATACTAGTTATAGCTCATTATTTCCATCCCTTGGGGAATAATAGGGCATGGAATTCCAAACACTATATGGGGTTAGTAGGTTGGATGTTTATGTTAGTCGATGTGAATGTAATTTGTTGTGTATCAGTACGACTTTAGTAAATGTTTATGTTCCAAATAAACGCCCGCACAATTTTATTTCAGCAATCTTTAACACCTTAAGGACCAAACTTCTGGAATAAAAGGGAGTCATGACATATCACACATGTCATGTGTCCTTAACGGGTTAATAGACTGGAAAAAGTGAAACAAGGTAATCTATTATGGGTAGGAGATTTTTACTGCATTCTGGATCCACAGTTGCATAAAAAGATCTAATTTTATAAGAACATAAATGGGAATGTGATAAGATAAGCAAAAAATGTATGTGAGATATTAGAAAGAAACTCACTATACTACATATGGAGATTAGATCATGTAGAGGAAATAGATTATAAATGCTCCTCTAAAACACCTACTCGAGAATAGACCTGATTATAGGAGACCTAGGGTCTATAAATCAAGTTAAGAACGTAAGGATTCAAGATCTAACCTGGACTGATCACAATGCAGTTATTTTAGATTTAAAAGACAAATTCGGGGGGTGGGGGCGGGCTGAGCCTGACCACCAAATAAGATAGAAGTGTGAGTCCTGAGCTCCCTTACCCCTGAGCACAAAATCAGCCTCCATCAGCAACTAAAAAAGACCATCCACACTAAATAACAGCACCACGTACAAACAAAGAAGCCCCCACTACCTAACCCTCATGGGAGGCAACAAAAAAACAAAAAGAACAAACTCCGTCGGTGGCCACGTTGTTCCGCAACTCGGAGCAGGGACGGCCATCTTCGGCCCACAACACCCATAACAACTCCGTATCGGACTCTGAGGACAGTGATGTCCCCAAAGACCCCACAGCCCCCATAACTATGGGCAACCTGAGAAAGCTACTCAGGGAAACCTCTATAGACATCAAGGCCTACACGGTGGCAGAGCTGGAAAAACATATTTCGGGCCTCAAGGACGACCTCGACGCGCTTACATCGCGCACATCACAGGCCGAACAGGAGATCTCCGGTCTCCCCAAAAAACCCAAGGCCAACATCAAGAGATTCTCCACATGCAAGATTGGATAATACAACTTGAGGATGGCCTGGAAGACCTAAATAACAGATCCCGCAGGCATAACATCAGAATCCACGGGCTACCTGAAACAATCCCACCAGAGGCCATATTTACTACAACCAAAGCCATCTTCCTCGCTCTCCTGCCAGAGGCCACCGACCAAGAGCTCACAATTGAAAGAGCACACAGGGCACTACGTCCCCCACATCCAACCCCCATGCCATGAGATGTAATTGTTAAATTACTGCTCTCCACCACTAAAGAAAAACTAATTGCCGCAGCCCGGCACAGACCACCAACTCACCTAGGCCAACCGCTGCACTTTTTCCAGGACTTGGCACCCACCACCCTAAGGAAGCGCAGGGAGCTCAAGCCCTTCACCACTTCGCTGGCACAACTGGGCTGGAAATAAATGTGGGGTCACCCATTCAAACTAATGGTCAGGAAGGACAACAAGACATATACCCTCCACCACCCTTCAGACATGCTGGACTTTGCCAACCACATCGGAGTCCCGCTCCTGCAATTACCTACAAGCACCGACGGCGACTCGCAGGGCCCGCTCAACCCAAGCAGAGAGACGAACCCACCTCTCTTCGCCTACCCCAATGGAAAAGGCCCACACAGACACCAAAGCCTGCTTCCCAAGCAGGCACCTGAAGGCGACAAACATGTGACATAGACATTGCTCACAGACCTGGCAGTCCCCGTTCGGACTCCGGACCAGGTTATACCCCATCTGATTCACGGTAACTGTCATGGGCACCCATACCACATTTAGTTTATTACTCTATTATGGTTATGGACACCCCACTGTATAGACAGGGCATACCCTCACTTAAACTGGTCACATAGGGCAACTACCTAACACCCAACCAATCATTCCTCTGCACTAGAGGTACCCCTCTTCCACTAACCTACCTGGGCCCCTACTGCGGGCATAATTCTATACCCATCGGGGGACCCGTCCTGCCACCATCTCGCCCTTGGCGGGCACGGACCCCACACTACCACCAGACATAACCCGGAGGAACTAGGGGGAATTGCAAACCTCCCCAACCTAAACTCACCTTGTGGTCCCGCAACTCCTCTCTTTCCTTCCACTACCACACCAGCCCTACCATCACCATTGGTCCCTGTAATGAAACTCTCCATACTCCGACTGAGTACCTTCCGTTGATGGACACTTCCTAGCTTGCATCGAGGACCACAAGCACTGCACTGGACACCACAATCACCACAGACTCCACAACCGCCGTAGCTTAACTGGAGTCTTGCTGTCTTCCTTCCACCCTGGATCAGCTTCTGTCCTCCAGGACCATGTGGGAAAGACCTCTCCTCCAGGAGAGCGTATCAGGAACAAGCTCTTAAAAAAGCTAAGTGATTAAAGCTCAGGGGACAATGCAGAGCATAGCAATCCCCAGTGTGAATATAGCTGTCCCCTCCAATCACAAGACAAGACTACGTGTTGAGGGTCAAGAAGATCTCTTTTAATCAGCACCAAAGGGCTTTCTTTTATGCAAGTTTTCAGGCCAGAGACACACCCCCTGGACCTGGTGGTAAACTGTGACAAAGGAGGCACAAACCAATGGGAACACTAATTAACAAAATAACACTCCCACATACACAGTAGAAATTCTCCCCTCTGCCTGTGATAGAATAACTGTACACAATGGGCTAATGTAATTATCACAGGCAGGAAAATAAACAGTTTTACACAATATTCATAACTTTAATAGTATACATCACATTCACATATTATTACATTTTCAGAACCAGCATACTCCAAATACAAACATATGTCAAAATCATACAAATTGGTCCAGTGGTTCAAAAGATAGATGGATGTCCTATTTGACCGACTGCAAGCATGGCTTGGGTGTGGTAAGCCAACTATCTCCAGGTACAGAAAATATATCTATTCACAACAACAGCAAAAATACACAAAAATACATAATTCCTATCATACTGAACAGAGCCCTCACATTCAACCTATCCCCAGATAGCTTGGATCTGAGCGCCCAATATAGGGGAACAGCGCTCATATACCACGAACACAGTCAGATCGCCATGGGGTTAAGTTTAGCACGGGCTGATGAGAAGTTGAGGAGGGACAAAGCAGCTAGTTTAAACTGGTCTGTCAGTGTCCCTGGGACAACGCCCTGCTGGAAAACAATGGACTGGAAATGGGGGTGTGGAAGAGACACACCTTCCCATGGATTCAAAGGGCATAAAAAGTGTCCCAAAATCCAAGAAGCCCAAATAATATTTGTAAAGGGCCATACAACCCAGGGCCATAGTCATGAGGCAGGAGGCTGGCAATCAGGCTCCTCCAAAAGGCAGGGGCACATAAAAATCCAGTGACAAAAGGCATTTTGTCACAGTCCCAATGCCCCGTATAATATGAGGGCTCCTCTAAAACTCTATTTCCTGACCATTATTCATGGCAGCATTTACTCAGGGTTAGCTCCTCCCTTCACAGCAGAAAGGACAGGAAATAGAACTTTGAAACTGGTATAAATAGATCCTCCCCCTTCCCATCAGGCAGTCTTTTTTCCTGTCCTTCACAGCAGTTTAGAAGGAGTCTGTTTATGCAGGCCTAGATTTTTTCTCTTATGCTCACCAGGCAATATTTTTTAGGCCCTGCCAGGGTTCAACCTCTAAACCCTGAAGACCCAGCAAACGCACTAAGATGAAACTGGCTAGCCTGGGTACCCCCTTTAGTGACCAGGGGGTCGGACCCTGAAAGGGATGAAAATGGTCCACTGCATGCCTCTTATCCCTGAAGACACAGCTTGGGTACCCCCTCAGGGGATGTATGTAATATACTGCCTACATAAAGCCAGGCCAGGGTTCAGCCTCTTATCCCTAAAGACCCAGCAAACAGCATATCGGTAAGATTTGCCAGCCTGGGTTCCTACTTCAGCAAACAGGGGTCTGTCCTATCTCTCTCGGAAGTGATGACAGTAGTCCACTGCATACCTGAGGCCCAG